GAGACTGATGGTGGTTCTGGTTCTAGAGAATGTCAAGTCAATATAATCGGTAAGTTCTTTGGTATCAGCTGTTTATTTGATCTCTCTGCTGCCTCTTGTTTGGAAACATGATGCTTGTAAGATTATCTCAGGGGAACTTTGTTCCTTTCTGATAAAATCCAGATGTGTGTCCATCCTGGACAGTTGGTCCCAGAGACACTGAGGACAACCAGATATGGACACACACACCCACACACACTTCATAGAGTCCAGTCAACCTAAGCTGCATGTTTCCAATGAAGGAAGCTGGAGTCTGTACACATGTTCAGGGAGAACATGAACGCAGCACACAGAGAGGGATTTGAACCAAGGACCTTCTTGTTGCTAGGCAGCAGTGCTAACAGCTGCTCCAGCGTTCAGCCCTACAGAGAGTCAATGGGTCCATAAAAAGCCTCCATGTTCCAGTAGTTCTGCTAGAAGTGATGCTGTTGAGGTTTAATGGGTTTCAGAACCAAGTGTCTCTGGCTGATGTCCATCAATAATCAGTGAAAAGTCTGTCAGTGAAGGTAACACTTCAATCCTCCAGCTGCATTTCATCAAGCAGTTTGACTAGAGGAGAAGGACAAATCAAACAAATCAGACTCTTTTCTGTATAAGTGTTGAGATATCTTACAAGCAGATTATCAATATATTAGGTTCCTATCCTGTCCGCAAGGCGTCCTCGTGGAAGGTTAAGCATAACAAAGGTTCTGGAATTAGAAAGCACAACCATTGCTAAGTTTTTCAAAGCCTCTTCACATCATCCAAGAGGGACCGTAATTTAAGAGATTTACAGCAGATAATCTGTTGATCATAGTGATATTTATCTACTACATGAGAAGATGTCTCTAGAACTTTCATTTTGAAACCCTTTGCCGGTAGGAGCAGCCATCCATGTAGTAACACATTTTGCTCGATGCAGGGGGTGGAAATCCCGCCCACTCACAACTATGTTGACTTAAATATGCTGTGTGGACCTTGTGGACAAGTCAAGCATAAAGCAAGCTTTAATCTCTTTTATGTTTTGTTCTTTCAGCAGCTGCTGGTGTCACCCAAACCAGACTAACGACTGCGCAAAGTATTGGTCTCATGTTTTTAACTGGATTTGCAACAGGAATAGCATCGGTGCTTCTCAATTGTCTCTTACGTTACTGTTTTCGCAAATATCCAAATGTGTCAAAGTACTGTTAAACAGTTTAACAGAACCATGAAGGTTCTGGTTCTGGTGTCCACATGAGTCTTTGCTGGACTCAGTGACTCCAAGGTATTGAGGTCCTGTGGCTGTAAAACCA